CAAGATGACGGCTTTGGGGAAATCAAGTTATAGCATTGAAGTGACGACGCCAAGTTCCGGTAACCTTGCGCCTGCTGGGTATTATCTTCTGTTTGTGGTTCATCAAGACATACCCAGCCAAGGCATTTGGTTGAAGTTGCAATAAAACAAAGGGTAATTCATTCAAATGCCCAAAATAATAATTAATTTTGATTAATGTGTTTACCTTGACCATGTTGTAATGTTGTCCTCTACAAAACAAACAAATGTATATACAATGTAATGTTTCCATCAATAAAGAGTATCGTTTTGTAACTGTTTAGAAATTTTAATGATTAAATTGCAAATTTCATAATTTCAATGATAAAAAAGATTATTTCAGAATAGTTTAGTGACCATATGTGTACATTACCCTAAATTTATAAGCTCGGTCAAATGGGGTGTTTTTCCCGTAATTCACCCTGACCCTATAATATTTCCGATCAGGCACCGTTCATACTATATTTCTCAATCTAACACCCTTTATAGAAAGGCGTGCTATCTGCAGCGCGCTTTATGTTGATCTGGCGTCACGTGGGGAAAGGCACGCCCCCTGAGACGCACCTTATGCTGACATAGATACACTTGGCTAAAGCGCGGCCCCTGGGGTGCGCCTTACGCCACGTAAGGGTATAGCGCGGGACAGGGGCCGCGCCTTCATGAAATTATGACACGCGTAAGGCGCGCCCCCTGCGGCGCGCCTTAGGTTTAATTACCCACCTACCCCCGCCCATTCACACCCCATCCCTCCCTATAAATACCCTCATTTACAATCACTTTCATCACACCAAATCCTCTCAACTTCTCTCAAATACTCTCTTATATTCTCTTATAAGGTATATTTTATTATATTTAGTATTTTGTTAGTAATTTATTTAAATTTAAAATTTTTAATATTTTATTTAATTAATATTTTTTGCAGATATAAAATGGAAGGTAGTCTACTTTGCTTGGATGAAAATCATATATCTCGACACTTTGTTGATACAATAACATTTTAACGTTTTAATTTAATTTAAATTATTAGTAATAATTTGTTGATTTATTTAATGCATGATTATTAGTTTAAGAATTAATTTTTGTAATTATTTATATTTTAGGATAAAGACCGTATATTAGATTATCTTATTAGGAACCTTAAGTTAGCGATACCATTTAATACTTATTGTAAGTTTGTTGTATTTAAAATTATATTTGTATTTAGTTGTTTATTATACTTTTTTATTGGAATTTTTTATTATTTATCATTTAATATTTACTTTATTTTGTTAATATGGTTGGATTTTTTTTAATTTATTTTGTTAAATTTGTTGGACTTTTTGTTAATGTATTTTGGTTAATTTTGTTTATTACTATTTAATATCAGTTATTGTAATTTGGTTATCATTTACCATTTAATACTTATTGTAAGTTTGTTGTATTTAAAATTATATTCAAATACCAAATTGTTATTAGTTTGATAAAATTTAATAATTGTGTTCGATAACTTTATTCAGTTTGTTACTTATTATCTCTTTTATTATAATCACATATAACGTCAACGTCCAATCTCGCATTATTTTATCGTTCTTTTAATCTTCATCAGCGGTTATCGAATGACATTAACTTGAAGTAAATACAAATTAAAGTACAAGAATTATTATTTGATAAACAACTACATCATTTCCTCATCAATTGTTACTTGATGACAACAGAAGTGGACATGTTTTTCTAGTGTGTCCTGGGTTTCTACAATGCCCACATCTTCTGTATTGTCTAGATCTTTCTCGAATATCCATATCGCAATTAATTCGATTGGATTTTGGACGACCACACTCCCTCAATAAACTCAGATTTGGTACAATCGAAAGCCAATCTTGAACCTCATCAGGGTCTTTGTCATTACCTATGAGGGGAACTCAAATTCGTATACCTTAAAAACTTCAGATAGTAGGTATACGTGATCCACAAAATGGTTATAGTCTTGACGTGTATGCGAGCAAGATGCTATCACATGAGAGCATAGATACTTCAGAGCTTGAAAAAACCCGCAATCGCACGTTCTGTCCCTTAGATTTACCTTAACGACATAACTTCAATCCCTTAAAGAGGTCGCGGTAACTCCGCGACATGAAAAATTTCATGCCGCCTAGAGAAGCTTGTTACAGACATTCCATTTGATGCAACAATTTTTTTCTGTAGATCTGCAACTAATCTAGGGTGATAGACATGGCCGTCTTGCATCCAGGTTTGAGCTTGTCCCTCGAGCTTCGCAAAAAACGCCCCCAAATGAAAATATGTAGTTTTTACCAAAGCCGCTACAAGTAAGTGACGTGCACCCTTTAAGGTTGAATTGATTGCCTCTGTCAAGTTGGTCGTCATGTGTCCATATATATATCTACCATCATATACGTTCGTCCACATTTCTTTATCGATGAGGCTGATGTAATCGTATCCTTACTCGTTCTTCGCCCGCAAATTTTGAAGTATTGATTCAAATGTTCGAGGAAGTAGTTCGTAACCTGATCAAAAAATGTATAACTTACTAACGTGCTTTCTTTGCAAAATTAAAATGATCAAAACAAAACAAACTACATCAGTTTCACTTACCCATGCGCACAAGTAATTGTCGCTCATCATTCTTCTTGTATCTTCCATGGTAGTTCACAGCAATGTGTCGGAGACAATACCTATGTTGGACAAAGGGTGGTTGCCACATTGGACCCAAAGACTCCATTGTACTTTGATCCCAACTCCGCGATCTGAAATGACACAGATTTTTTCCCTCGTGATAACATGTGCACGTAAGTTTCGAAGGAAAAAAAAACCCAAGAATCTGTATCTTCTTCTTCGACAAGAGCAAAAGCAACAGGAAAAATGTTGCGATTGTCATCTTGGACAACTGCCAATAATTAAACTTACTTTATTTTTCATACAAGAAAGTCTCGTCGATCTAGACAACAAGCTTGTAGTATTTGACAACATTAACGCACTGTGGGTAAGTCCAAAAAACTCGATAGAATTGGCATCGATCGCGGAGAACTCGATCATTATGGTATGTATAGGAGGTTTCGAAGTCCACAATTGTCTCAGGATTCAACGTCCGCACCAGCCTAAACCAACCTGGAAGTTTGTTGTAAGATGCATCCCATTCGCCATAAAGTTTGACAATGGCATTTTGTTTTGCCAACCAAGCTTTTTATAGGGGACAGTGTACCCATACTACGATTGTATAGCTGAAATCAACACTGCAACAACTATATGAGAGCTTGTAGTATTTGACAACATTTGCTGGAACTTCATCATCATCATCATCATCAGAGTTGAATTTGGTGATTCTGGGTGAATGAATAGTCCAGTCTCAGTACCATCCGCACCAGGCTCACGAAGTGGTTCTTCTGGTGGAGATGATGGTTCCTCCATGCTCTCCACATTTAGGTCGAAGAACTTACTACTTCCATGTCTTCCCCTTGAACTAGAAGGCATATCGACATTGAGATCGAAAAAGCTCGCAGTCGAATACTTCCCCCTGGAGCTTGAAGTCATCGTGTCAAATAGAAACTGCATAGATTGTTGTGTCGATGGCATCTCTATATTAAGGTCAAAGAAATTTACAGATGAATGCATTCCCCTTGAACTGGGCGCGGTGTTGCCATACGGATTGTTTGTAGACCCACCTCGGTACATATCGTAAGGAGTTGCGGATGAATGTCTCTCCATTATGGCATTAAAATCATTACACATTACTATAGTCGGACTGTCAACTTGATCAACTTGTTCAGACAGCCTATAGTGGGAGCTTAATGACTGACCCCGAACAGCACGCACTTGAACAAACTTTGCATTCATTTCAATATCGGCGTCTGAATAATTACTTTAAGATTCAACCATTATTTCAACATCATTATTGTTCAAAAGTTTGAACGTTGTATAAGTTAATGACAACAATGATGTTGGAAATTTATACTGCAACGACGACATTCTTCTACTACTTCCAACATGAACCTTCCTCGAAATATTCGTTATCTCTCCTCAAGAGTTATGTTTCTCTTGAATAATATTTTAACACGCTCATTTGATACGAAATAACGCCAATTTCATCTTCTCGAATTTCTCCATCATAATAAACAATAATTGAAAGTCGCACTATTCTTAGAGTTTAAAAGTGTGACAATATTATATCTGCAAAAAAAATAACTGAAACAAACCTTATTAAATAAATAATATATGAACGAAAATATAACACAATAAAATTTTTACACATAAACTTAAATAATTTAAAAAATATAATTTTATATTATTATATGCACCGCAAAAATATTTCGACGTATGCTCCCGCTTTCCAATTTTACAAACACAGAAATTAATTAAAAACAATTAGTATAATATTTTTCAAATAATTATAATAAATAATAAGTATAATAAAAAAACTTATAACAAAATTACCTTATAACGAAAAATCGCACGAATTTTTGAATTAAATATGAGAAGATTGTCGGATTGTTGTATTAATTTTTTTTTTCTGTTGAGAGGAGATGTGAGGAGTTACCGGGGGAAGGGTATTTATAGCCGAGAAAATGAACAATAATTATACAAGGCGCGGCATCTACATCGCTCCTTACATAATTATATTAGTTAAAGTTAAGGCGCGACTCATGGGTTACGCCTTATATGATTGTGTCAGAATTAAAGGTAAAACGTGACCCCTGTCCCGTGTTATAACCCTACGTGACGTAAGGCGCGCCCAAAGGGCCGCGTTTTAACCAAGTGTATCTATGTCAATATAAGGTGCGCCTCAGGGGCGCGTCTTTCCCCACGTAACGCAAGATCAGCGTAAAGCGCGCTGCAAGATGCTTCTTTGCAAAGAGTGTTAGATCAAGAAATATAGTCTAAACGGATCGAGAATATTATAGGTAAGGGTGATTTTTCGATAAAAACGCCGCCCAATGGAGGGTCCTTTTAAGTAGATGACTCGTCGGGCCGTCGGAGCGGGACTTCTGCCATAGCTAAATGTTGGGCTATTGGAGCTCTCAAGAGAGCAAAAAGTATTTTTCTGCAGAAAACAACCCACTCTGCTTCTGGCGTGAAGAAGAAGAAGATGGAAGGTAGCAATGGGAAAGGCTACGCCTGGGCAATCTCAGCTGGTTTCAACGCTGCATGCGCTGCCGTTTCAGCTAAACTCTTGTTCCCTCCGGTACCTTTTTAATCACCCCAAGTTTCTTATACTCCAATCACCAATTTTTATTTCGCTTGCTATTCGTCTTATACCCTAATCTTACCTCTCTTTGTGAATTACCCATAGTTTTTTTCCCATGGTTTGTAATTTCGAAATTATAATTGATCTTCAGTCGAATTTCTCTTTGAATATTTTGCAGGTAATTAGATACGGACTGGTGGTAATTTTCAACGTCATGATGTGGGGATGTTATGTTAACAGCTTGAAAGCTCTTTCATCCCTTCAAGCAACCGTTACGAATTTCGCTACTAATTTCCTCACTTCTGGCCTTGCCGGTTTCTTCTTGTTCGACGAACTATTGTCGATTAAGGTAACCCAATAGACCAGATTATGAATTGATATTTGAATATCTTAGCAATTACCAACAAGTAACAAGAACAAGGTTTAGAACCAATGAACTGTTGTTTAAGACTTTTGAGGATTAGTTAAATGTTTATGTCATTTAGTTTGCAACATAAACTTATCATCATTTGTGCTATAATTGAACTATTGGAGTCGCTTGGCAAAAACAGAAGCTTGGAAATGGGAAAATTTTCAGTTAGATTTCTGCTTGTCTGCTATTTTTGGTGGTATGGAAGTTTCGTGATGCATGCCGAAAATCATTCTAGAAGAATAGAAGATTTTTCGAGTACATTGTTTCGAACACCCTAACTTTGATTAGTTTTCTTATGATTTGTCTGTTAAGCTTTTATTTGTATTGTGTACCAGTCCCTTATTTTATGGCATCTAAGAAGGCAAGAGAGAGGAGGAAGTTGGATTGAAGTTACTAGATATATGCTTTATGGAACTTTGCTTTGGTGACTATTTTCGGATATGAAAACTTAGTGTCGATACCTTATGCATGGAAACCAAACTAGCACTCATCGGTTATGAGCAATTAACCCTGTAAAATGCAATTCTGATTACGAGAGCTTTTTCAGTGGTTTGCAGGTGCCATGTTCATTGTCATCGCTGTACTTATCCTCAGCAAGTCTAGCATAGAGAAGACGGAAAAGACTGATTAGAGTTTTTACATTAATGGTGCTGCATTTCGACCGTTATAACTTCCGGCTTCTTTTGGAATGGAAGATCATTCGAGCAAATTGTTTTAAAGAATCTCTCTTTCAGTCATCAATCATCACAATGCTGGTGCTACGAGTTTAACTTTCTCGGCTATATGATTTTTGACAACTAAAGAGATGTTTTTCAATTTCAACACTGATGCTAATCGGTCGGATTCACAGTTTTCACCATCTTCTTTGTATTTGTCTGGGTATATAATTAAGTCAGTTACAGACATATGAACAAAGTCGAAAGATTTGTGATAATCCCAGATTTGGTAACTTTTGTTTCCGTTGCAGCATGCCTCAAGTTCATATTTCTTGATGAACTACCATTTTCAATTGCAGCAAACATGGGACTTAGCATTGATCTCCATTCCACTATAAGGAGATCTAAGGATTTGAGATGTCGTACAAAGTTTATTCCATGTATTACTTGATGTGGATCTTAATTCATAATATTTGAACTCGAGATTTATCGAATGTGTATGGATGTAGGGACAGTGTCCTTCCGTTCGGTCTTGAATAATAGTATTCTTTCTCAGTAGGTGAGAGGGATAATTGCATTGCCAGTTACGGATACAGAAGTTTAAACCACGTCGGCTTAAATTGTGGTGAATTTATTGCAAAGTTTTCCCCATTACAGAAGTTACATTTATGCTATTTAATCTATGAACTATTCTTTCTTAAAAAAGGTCCTAATGATCCGAATAACTTAGCCCAATTTTGTAACATACTATGTATTTTTTCATTTAATTATTTTCTCAAATACTATAATTTTAATGCAAGCTGTGGATATTTAAATGCAATTGAATCACAATTTATGGAAATTAATTTCACTTATATATATATATATATATATATATATATATATATTTGTTAGTTAAGTTTTTGGTACAGTAAAAACAAATTATCTTATTTTTTTAAATAAAATATATATTTATACATTATTGGAAATATATATTGTAATGTATAAGAAATAGATTAGCCTTAGCTGATAGATCGACTGTAATTCACAGGTTAGGTTTTTAGCCCACCCTTGGAACTTGACGAGACGACAGTGGAAAATCACGGTCTTTAGGACACAAAACGTAAGGATAAATTCCTTGGCCTTTCCTTCTTGAGCTCCTTTCCACTTATTTTCCCAACTTCCCAGAATTCCATGTGTTGATTCCTTTATATTTCCTTTGAAATCCTTCCACTGGTAAGCTTATTCTTCTCTTCTACGCCCACTTCTTTTCTCTTTTAATTATCGATTTGCCTTTAAACCCATCTTAGTTATGTTTAGTTTTAGTTGTTTCCTGCCTTTTATCTGCAGGTTTTGGTTAATTTTTTGTGGTTGGTGCTTTCAGGGGGCCAGGGAAGAGTGCTTTCACAAGTTCATATCTTTCATTTCTAGGGCTTTAAGATTTTTTTTTTTTTTTTTTTGCGAATTGAACTCTTTAAAATAGCTATGGGAGTGAACTTAAAAGACTTTTGATATATTAGCACTTCAACTAAGAGTTTTATGATTCTGGCTTTCTTTTTTCTTTTTGGTTTTAGCTTAGGACTAGAGATGCTTTATTTATATACTTTCTTGAGGAAGAATCAGGTCTTTTAGCTGTTCATATAGTATATTGTACATTATTCTAGTCTTGCCCGAAAGTTTAGCTTTCATTGTTTCACTTTCAAACAATTTCAATGTAGTAAGGTAGTATACTTAAAATATTATGTTGAAATTCCAACTGTTAAAACGAAGGTTCAATGTGTTAAGCTTACTTGCATTGAATTTTAAATCGATATGCAACTCTTAATCGTTAATTTTTAACGCCTGGAGTTCTTTGTATGAATTGATATTATAGAAAAGTGCCTCTAGATATGGGAGGGAGATGTTTTTGCATCCAATGCTTCTACTTTTGAACCCTTCCGATTGATTGGTAATGTTGATTTGTTGATGGCTATTCGGGGGTTGTATACTTGTTTACTAAATTAGGAACTGATGGAATTCGTGCTACTAAGTGAGGAATAGTTGGTTATTAGACTTTTGTTTCACTGTTTTCGGTGATGTTTAATGTATTCATGCATCAGTTCTTATTCAGGTAAAATTGACTGCTGAAGGATGTGGTTTTGTCCCTCATACAGCGTTTTCGGTAGGAAGATGTTTGCGTTTTTCGTGGGATGATATCAGCTGTTTTCCTGATAGTAATGGAGTAATCCTCTGCTATACAGGATTTTCTGCCCCGAAGTGATGTGATGCTTACTTGACTGAATACCACCCTCAGAACGGAGTTTTGAGATTTTATTTGTGGATCTCAACAAGTTCCTGGAGTCTCCAATGGATGAAGGTGGCCATCGTGAAAATGGAAGACTTAAAACGGATCAGTATAGAGCAGCTCAGGGCCAGGTATCTCAAGGCTGTTTAATTTTGCAAATTATAGATACTTGGACTGATGTAGAATGACGTAATTGAATTAACTTTCCCCCTGCGACTAATGTGTTCAATTTCAGCATTTTCTGAAAACTTGTGTCAATGGTGATAACTTTTATGAGGATTGTTGTAGCAGTGGTTGATGCATCAGCCATCAATGAAGCAGATAATGGCCCTTATGGCTGAACGAGATGCAGCCATTCAAGAAAGGAATTTAGCTCTTTCCGAGAAGAAAGCAGCTATTGCCGAGAGAGATATGGCATTATTGCAGCGAGATGCGGCAATTGCTGAACGAAATAATGCTATAGCGGAACGTGATAACACCATAGCGAATCTGCAGTATCGGGAGAACTCCCTGTCATCTGGTAATATGTCCTCTTGTCCGGCAGGATTCCATATGTCCCGTGGAGTGAAGCACATGCAGCATCCACATCAGAACATTCACCATCTGCCCCACGTTAGTGAAGTTCCTTATAACTTGAGAGAAATGCATTCAACTGATACCCTTCCAGTGGTGCCAGGTACCTCCGAAGCTGCAAAGTCAAGACGGGGTAAACGAGCAAAAGAGGCCAAGGTGATTGCACCTAACAAGAAGGCTTTAAAGCCTCCTAAAAAGGTAAAACAAGAGAACGAGGACTTGAACAAGACTATGTCTGGCGAGTCACACGAGTGGAAGGGTACAGAAGATGTCGGTGGTGCCGGTGATAATCTCAACAAACAGTTAGTTACAATAAAACCCAATTGGAAAGGTAAGGATCTAGGGTTGAATCAAGTTGTATTCGATGAGTCAACCATGGCACCTCCTGTTTGTTCCTGCACCGGAGTCCTAAGACAGTGCTACAAATGGGGAAATGGCGGATGGCAATCTTCATGTTGCACAACCGCCTTGTCGATGTATCCTTTGCCAGCTGTTCCAAACAAAAACACGCCCGGATCGGTGGTAGGAAGATGAGTGGAAGTGCTTTCAACAAGCTGCTTACTCGGCTCACAGCTGAAGGTTATGATTTGTCCAATCCTGTTGATCTTAAGCACCATTGGGCCAAGCATGGGACAAACCGCTACATCACCATCAAGTAGGTTGTTTTTAACCAAATGTGAATCGGAAGTTATGGAGAACTAGTGAAGTATCGGTCAACGTTCATGTTTCCAACCGTAGCATTCTAGGAGTGTAGGAAAAATAAATGATCCAGAAATAACCGTAGTAAGGAATACTAGGTGGGTACTGCCAACTTAAATTCGAGTTTACTTCGAAAACGGCCGCTCTGATATCTTGCACTTGCTATTCGGCCTTGATATCCTCCGTTAGCAGACTGGTATTTAAAGAGGGCATAAAGGGTCTCATCCCATTTCTGGAAAAGTGATGGGGTTTTCAACTTGCCGCTATGTTAGCCTACTTAATTGTAAAAGTATTGTGCCTGAAAGGTCTTCTTGTACTTTAATGAAGTTTCAGTCTATTAGCTTAATCATTTTAAAATATCTATGTATCTTTGATTTCTTTTTTATAATTTCTTTTAATTTAGTGTCTCAGTTTTATGTGATTTGCTCTTTTACTTAAATCATTTTTATTTTTTTTATCATATTTGAAAAACATGCTCCTCTACTATTAAAAAAATACCCACTATAAAATACTCATGTAATTTTAATTTCTAATTTTAACTATAAATTTATTCTTTTTCTTAATTTTGTCTTTTAATTTTGCATTTTATTCAATTTGATCTTTTGATTATAATTTTTGCAAATTCTTTTTTCTAATCAATTTTTATTATTTTATACTCCCGTCAATATTTTATCATAAAGATACTTTTAAAAAAATATTATTAATATATTATATAATTTTAGATTGTTTTTGGTTTATTGAATAATATTATAATATGAAAAAGAAAGTGAAGAAATATATATATATATATCTTATATGATTAAAGAATATCGATAAATTGAAATCAGTATGTGTCATAATATTATAAATAGTTAAATTAAATTTGTATATAAATTCGAATAAATCGATTCAAACTTTTTAAAATAAAGTTTGTTATAAAATATAATTCGTCAAATTGACTAATTCCATCGAATATTCACTCTTAGATATAAGCGCGATCATAATTATAAATTATAAAATTTAAATAACTATAAAATAGCGGCTTAAGTCGAAATAAATCAAAAGACAATTCACGCATGATTTATAAAGAATATGAATTAAACTTGAAAGCTCAAAATTTTAAGACATATAACTTTATCATTGAACCAAGTTCTTGATCTCGTTGTCTTCTTATAACGAGATCTTTACATAAGCAGACAGATATAGAACAAGTGGAACAATTGATGCAGAACGAAAACGTTGTCGCATGAACCGACCTTTTTAAAGTAGATGTTGTGGTTCACATTGGTGGGTTTAAAGAAGAGGGGCCATTTTTTGTCATTCAATGTTTGGCTCCAAAGTCAAGCAATTGAAAAAGGCAGAGGTGTGAGGAGGAAGCATCAATGGCTTTCAAATGAATTACTCGAGGCTGTGTTCGGGGGAATAAGGTTAAACGGTCGGAGACCCCATTTTAGAGACAATTTTATGGACTTAACTTCACATTGTGGACCTAAGCTGCTAGGTCCTTATGGCCTAGCCCAAATTAT